GTGTAAAGCGAAAAATTTGCAAGAGAAAAAGAATAAAATTAAGAAAAAGAAAATTAATCACTGTTTAATCTTCACTTCACTTCACATTAGGTTTATTTGTGTTTTAATTGCTGTATTATAATGCAAATTATTTTAGTATTATTTTATAAGTAGGTACATTAATATGTATTCTTTTTTTTTATATGTATTATGTTAATCACGTAACTTTATAGAGAATAACAAAAATTATTTTGATGTTTTACTGTATGGATTATTATTATTAGAATTGTATGAAAATTTATGTTTTAGTTGGTTTCTGCATTTTATCACATTATGTAATTGTATCCTACGCGATTTTGTACTATAAATATTATATCATGTGTAGATCATGATTATAGATTGATGAATATTATTCTACTAATAATATAATATTCACATTTCCTTCTAAATTTTTGCTCAAATGAAAGATTTTATCGTCCATGTGACTTTCAATTAATTACTGTATCTACTATTCTTTTGCAAATAAGATGATTTCTCGATAAAAATTCTTTCGTTTTATTCGCGGGAATTTTGATCGAGTTATTAATAATGCAATTTCAACGAAAATAAAAGCAGAGGATCGTTTTATGCTTTTTGCTTTATTAACGATTTATATAACACTGAATTAGTTAATTTCACATATCGCGGAGTTCTCACAGGGACATTTGTTGCATTTGATAAAGAATCTTGGCCATTTATATAAGTCACATTCCTGCTATCAATTGTTGAACGGTAAGTCTCAATTGCTGTAGACCACACTGGGCAAAGCTTTGGGCAACCATGCATTTATCGTCGTTCACAGCTAAACAAAAGAGAATAGAAAAGACTCGATTTTAAATAAAATAAATAATGGATAATAATAAAGAAGAATAGAGAGGTGTGACAGATGATCTGTACCATTTTTGGCACATTGATGCACATTCTGACGTACGATATCCTTCTTATCAGCGTCAAAGAACGTGTTGTTGATGTACTCGTCGATTTTCTCCATGTTAATAACATTGTCGTTCATCTGAAATACATGCAACATTTTCAACATTGTTAATAAACCAAATGTATCAAATAGATCGAACGATATCGAAGTAGAATATCTTTGGGTGAAGTAAAATAAAACATTCATTTAGATTAAATGAAAGCTCAAGTTTCATATTCTGTTCCTTCTTTGCGAAATTATTTTACACAATTTTTAAAATACAATTGTTATACGATAAAACAGAATAATAAGTGTTCGATAAAAATAGATTTTAGATATCTCCTGTTTTTCTTTATGGCAGTAAAGATCGATATTATATAAATTAATATTATACATCGGTTATTGTTCTGATCGCATATTAATTATTCTGTTTATTGTTTGAGTATGTATTAGATTTCACTCGCTCCACAAATTCTCCAGGCTTGATTTTATTAAGTAGAAGACTATACGTACCAGACCCATCTTCTGCATTAGGCAAGCTTCTAGGCACGCGCGTTTCATGCTGTCGTTAATTAAATTTGGGAGATCAGCTAGTGAAATGAAGTAACGTTTTAATTATTATTTGCCTCGTAATAGTTTCACAGTCGTTCGATTTAACAATGATATTCAATAATCGTCTTTATTAATTTTTTCTTTAGAAAATTTATATTTAGACATTTGTGCTTTTACAGCACGCGAAATTTAAAAGATAATCAATTCGTTGATTTTTATTTATTGATAAAATCATGAGTCTTTATAAATGACAATTATTAAATATAATATATTAAGTAAGTCTTCACGCATTTACCAAACCTCAAAAATTCAAAACGGAGAAATGAGCATTCACTATTAATGAATATTTATACTTACTAAGATTAAGATCCAGTTCTTCTAAGCAGGACAACATCTGCGCATTAACCTATGAATTATAAATTGAAAATGCTAATTTCTTTAATGTATTTAAGAGAAATGATAAATTCTCAGAATTATCAGAATTTAATTTCTCTATAAATCTTAACAAACAACTATTTTTTGGTGTTCCATAAATCTTTGATCAATATTTTATATTATTTTAATTTTGATATTACTATTTGTCGTTTAATATTACAAATATTCAATCTACGCTATCTTTTTACTATAACTTGTTTAAAAACTAATTTCCTTTATCCTCAAGATCTTTTCCAATTTAACATCACATCTAGTTTACTTTATTATACTTTTTACATTTGCGATCTTCATTTATCAAAGAAGGGAAAAAAGTATTTAGTCACGAAAACTTGTAATCGATTAAAAAACCATACTTCGCAACAAACGAAGTGTAACACGCAGAAAAGAGCGAAGACGGTCTTTGCGCTTGCGTTTTTTGGCATACTGATGTCCAAAGTGTTCGCAAAAATACGAATAGGTACAAGAGAAACCTCGAAACGCGAGCAACTTCTCCGACTATGTTACTCATCGTTTCGAGCTGCTATTTATACTGAATCAGTGCACAAGGAGACTGATCCGTTGATAACGGACTTACGTAATTTTGTTTTTCAAAAATATTGTGATTTACACTTGGAATATGCATCCTAGAATAATTTTTCAGAACCACCAGTGACGAAAGTGACTAATTAGCAATTCTTTATAAAGATTTCATTGTGATTTGATAACAATGCATTTTTTAGCGATTTTTAATAATTTTTCTTGTAATGTATAAATGAAAGCTGGTGTTTCTTTATTGTATTATAAATTTTTTCCTATTTCTTGCAGTTTCGTTTTTCTGATACAACTGATTATGTTGTGTGTATGTGTGTGTGTGTATTTTTTTTTTTTTTTTAGATATTTCTTATATCATATTTTATTTTTTTTCGATTAATATTTTAATCAATAAAATATCAAGGTATCATTAGGATGCTTCAGAATGCAATGATTCGCGCTGTTTGAAATATCAATAAGCTCTAGTCGATCATGTTTGGCACTTACTCGAATTCCTTTATTTATTATTTCGATAATTTTATTCAATCCGTAAAAGTAAATCAAGTTTCCTCAGGATTCCTCAATTAATTACATTATCTGCTGCTATTTTGAATGAGGAATGATTATTGCATAAGAATCTTTTTCGTTCCGTCGTAAGAATTTTAGATAAAAAGTCTTATAAAATTTATTTTATTACGAGTGATTTTTTTAAAGACAGAAAACCATTCGAATGCTTCTTACTTTATTGACAAACTTGTACAATTAATTCAATCTGTTGAGAAAACTGGGAACGTTTCCAACGTTTGTGGACGAATTGAAAGAACGTTAAGCCTTGATCATTACTTTTTGTAATATTTTTTTAAGATCCATGTGATCCAAATGTTCCCTACTGCAATCAATGAATTCG